GCCTCGTTCGAAAGAACGCGCCTTTGACGTCACAGCAATCCCTGAGTATGTGTCACTATTTTATAACGCAGTGTTAGGGCCCATAAATCAGTTATTCTTCATGAAGCTCTCTTTGATCTTTTCAGATATTTATTTAAATCTTAATCTGAGAGCAATTCGCATGGTGGTCACGTCATGATATTATTCAACAAAGGATAGAAAAATTAAAGGACTCTCGTGGTAGCCGTCCCTCTTGCTCAGAGCTTTGCGGTTGTCTTCAAAATCAGGCCTTTTTGTCACGAATGGTGACCTCTATTCTTTATTCAGTAGTGATCTTACCGCGTTTCCTCGTTTCCTTCGCCTTGAAGACGCTTACACTACACCCTTAGAGCTTTATAACGCTTCATTAGAGCTTCTGCTTGGGATTATGAAAAAAGATTCAGATTTCTCAGAGCTACCCTGGTACAACATTTACGAGTAAGGGAATATTCCTTCCACGCACCAGTGGAGATTCCATGTTTCGCACGGTGGGCGTGTTAGATGTAGTGCTGACCCAGCAGTACCGTAACATCCCGACAATGATGAAAGTCTTAAGAGCTGACCCTTTTACTCGCGTTTTCAGTCACCCGTCACCACCAGCATAGCACAGACGACCGCAAATCACAGTCGCTAATACCCATTTGCACTAAATAGTGCAAGAGATCATTTACTTACAGCTGTAAGCAAACTAATTTATCAAGGATTCACAGAGGAATTCATGACACAACGTCACTTATTTCAATATCAGTATAGATATCATTTGTATACTGCAAAATGTTTTTGCGGTTTCTGGATATAGCGGCTTACTGACGCTAGAGAAGAGAAGAGAAGGTTTGCCTCCAGAGCTCTGCTGAAGTCATCGTTTAACAAATGTTCGGACAGCCCCATGTCCAGCATCGGAGCTACTGCACCTTCATATCTACGCCAAAAGTGCTTTCGCTTTCAAGCAGCGGTGGTATCATGACCCATTAAAACTCCTCTAGTTATAGTGCGTAACGCCGAACGGTTCTGATTTTTAGTACGCTCATGACTCGTGGCGTTCTAGCCAAGTCATACCTGAAATGAGATCATGAATTCACAACCAAGCAAAGTTACAATTTGTGAAAGTCCTTCACCATCGCAGCAACTTGAGAAGGACCTGTGATGTTTTGCCAGTGCCCCGTCGCAATACGCATGGACATTTACGACGACACCTATAATGCCTGAGCACACTATTCACTCTTTTGGAAGTTGCGCGCCGAATGTAATTAAACCGAATGCTTCGTAACGTGAACAGTGCTCAGTGGATTTCGTGCCCTCCACGCGCATCACTGAGGCCTCGCCTTCATAGCTTCAGTCCTTGGCCGACCATGTCACTCTTGGTATGTAGCTACTGTTTTGATACTTGAGCAGCGCTCAGTGGGTTACGTGCTACGCCACGTTCAGCCCGCGAGCCACGCTCGGGACTTCTGTCCAATACGCCTCTGGTTTTGACAACTCGGATACTAGCACGTTGGCCTACCCGGTCTAGTAATAGCACTTCTGCTTCCTGGTATAGGTAAGGAAACGCGATTGCACGCGATATTCTTGGTCAGGCAGCGAGAACACTCGCAAAAGCTGCAGTTTCAGCTCCGTCCGGGAGGAATCGCCGCATCAACCGAAGTGCCGCACGTGCCCATTTTCGTGCTCGACCCCCGAGCTTGGAGATAGCTAGCGCCACGCGCTGTTACTCGTTCTGGAGCATGGCGGATGCCATAGCCATAGCCATATCGGCCTCTCTCCATCCTTACCCTCAAAGGTCTTAAGGACCACCATGAGCGGCCTAGGTCGGTCGGGAGAAGTCATCCGTCGTCGGCGGTGGCGTCATACGCAGTCGACGCCAACATCTTCTGCTCTAGGTGCTCTAGCAGAGCATTTTCATAGCGCTTCAGGTCCTTACAAAGCAAGGTGTTGTACGCCCATAGGGCCAAGCAGGGACCACACTTTCTTAATCCAGTCCTGCATGCCCTGGGACAAATAGGAGAATAACTCCATCCTCACAGAGGAGCAGTTGTAACAAATAAGGCGTAAATTGATACGGGCGCTACCAAGTGCAGCGGGGCTGCCGTAGCTCGTTGCTTAGAAGAAGCTTACTAAGTCCACCGACCTTCGTTCTATACTAGAATCAGTACGAGTGTAGCGGATCGCAATCCGCTACATCCAAGAGTCACTACAACCTTAACCCAAGGCAAATAAACTTTTCCGTTCAAAATGTGAACCGTATTTTTTTTATTTGCGGATAAGCCGCCTATATCTATATATATAGGTTTCGTAATAAGATTGTAAAACCTTAATTTATAAGCATAACTACTGGCAGTCCAGCCACGCACTAACTTCTTGTTAGGGTGTAGCCACACCATTGTGTGATTACACCGTCTTGTATAATCCATACGTTTGTATGGAAACACCATCTTGTGTGACCCATCCTTCATACCGGGGTACGTGTAACCCCCGTTACATAAACGCTTAACAAGCATTTACAGCGCTTGAAGACAGCTTCACTTTGCATTCTACCGGACCTGCTCCACAGAGAGCCCCCTTCCATACACTTCTTCAATTAGCCCATCGACCCTAAAAAAGTGAACATTTCCGCGACCGACGCCATCAAAGTATTCACAGCGAGTTGTTCTTGGAAACTGCACTCAACTCTTCGCATCTCGGCCCAACACCCCCACCCTAATATAACATAATAAAGACCAAGCCGCTTGCGCCCTCTGCGCTCCGTTTCATCTTTGCATCAGTGATAAAATCAATAAACTTTTCTTCGGCTGATAATGTTGCCCTCTTCCGCCGTTGAGCTCACAACGACGTCCATCTCATCACCAACGAGCTCGACCTTGCTCACTGAGCCCGACTAGCTAATCCGCAAGCGCAAGCCTCTCGCCGAGGCTCGCCATGAACATCACATCATGGCTATGGTGTTTATCCATTAAAAGTTACTTGCTACTCTGAGGATCCGATCTTACGGGTCTTCAGCTTACACGGAAAGGCCAGTTTGTCGCTTAGATCAACAGTAAGTGGTATAACCTATGTTCACAATGAAAATTGCGCCTTGGAGAGTGAAAGCCAGTTAGACCGACGCCTTGCGACTAACAATGCTCGAAAATCCTGACATACCCCTCTTGTCTCTATTTTTTTATGAGTGGACAAGAACTCAGAGCAACCAATACGCCGTGTTGAGCGTGATCTGCGACATATGACGCCTCCAATATCCTTGTGCTAAAAACGCCTCCCATACTGAGGTATTGCACGATATCTTTCGTTTTGCGCGTGTCCTGACAACCTAGCTTGCTGAAATAAATGGCGACGCGTTGTGATTCGATTGTAGCATGGTCATATCTATGGCCACCTCAACTACTCAAATCTGGATGGGGATATTTTCTCTCTGCGCTCCGAGGCTGAAATCTCCACATCAACAGCCTCATGGTGGGTGCCACCTAATTTCTCACTAACGCTTGGTTAGAGCTCTCTTGGAGGCCTCCCATTTGCTCATCACCAGCTTTTAAACACATTCAGTCGAGTGGGCCACTATTCCGCAAGTTTCCTGACCCCTTCGGGTCAACCATCAAGATAAACTTGTATGGCGTTTAATTGGCCAGAGACAGTAATACGAGCATCTCGTGTTCCACCCTAACAGAATATCGAATATTATATGACTCGGTCGCGGGATTGACAACAAGAGCGACAAAGAGCACCGAAGTAGCCGCGCACTTTGCACAATAAAGTTTGACTTTGAAATTTCTCGTTAACCAAACCAATCGCTCCTACCAGGAGCAAATGCGAGAGGCATTGCCGTGACTTGGTGTCTTATTTGCTCTTCTGATCCAAGATTACAAAGACAAAGGATAAAAATTAATAAGGCTGATACTCAATATACACCGGAATCTTATCTCATCATGATAATGTCTCATTGTCTAACGTACGGCGATGTATCACTTGCTTCTTCTTTACGAAATCCCGTCATCTATATACATCGGTATTTGTGGATATTAATAGTTACACAACGTGTAACGTGAAACTCAAACAATGTGCAGCAGGGCTGCCGTAGCTCTTTTGCTTGGAGAAAGCTAAGCTAAGGTCATCGACCTTACTATCTCGACTAGAGCCAATTTTCTATGATCAATCAATGATCTTCTCTGCTTTCATTTTACTTTTCGTGAAGAAAAAACATTCTATTTTAACATCGTACTAGAACCTTCAAGTTTTTAGTCTATAGCTACATTGATAAAGATGTTGTCATTTCGTAAAAGATTTACAATTAGGTTTGACATCAAAATAGTTTATTCTAAGAAGAAACGATCAGCTTGATAAGGTAGCGAAGCAAGCTAGATTAGAGATTGACACGGACTGAAGCTTTTAAACTTGCCATTCGCAACGCAGGCGGCGCGTGACTAGTCTTATGCATCAAGTAGAGCCCTGCTGTAGCCGTCCGTCTGTCTGTTCAGCGGTTATAGAAATTCAAAAAAAAATCAATTGTACTGTCAAAATGTTTTTATCTAGGAATGGTTATCACGTATGTGCATTTTACAATTAATATAAACGGCTTTTTATTGGCCTTGTGGCATTGCTAGACTGCATGTAGACCATCATACCGGCTAAGCTCCGATGAGTGCGAGTCTGAGACTAGCTAACCAATGCAATCACGGTGTAATGAATTCAATCGCCGCTCATTCATGCTGTACGCTGTTAGAACGAGATATTTGAGCAAGTTGTGTAAGCTGTGACATTAATGATAATGCATTGAGTCATGAGATGTGGTCTTAGTATTTTAGAGAATGCAAACAATGGTTTTAAATGCAAAACAGTCGAGGAAAGTCCAGTCAAAACTGCAGTTCGCAGCAGAGCTGAATTATGTTTTTCGAGAAGTAAAACTGTTGCACATTAAGTTATTTTGTCTTCTACCGGTACTCCTTTAGCAGCTCAAAGCATGTGAGTGCGCTTCCGGATAATACAGTATCGGAAACGACAAAAGTACGTACAGCTTTTGGTAAGGATTTTGTTTTGCGGCTCAAAGCATGAAAGCGACAGTGGTTGTATTTTTAAATGGTGCAATGGCTGAAACGACGAGTACGTTTAGCTTTTGGTATTACGAATTTTATTTCGTTCAGCGACGGACAATGCTAGGCTCCCGGCACGATCATTTGCGGCACCGACAATGCAAGCAGTGGAAATATTCTGATGAAGATGCCTTTAAAGCAGCAAGCTTGTGCCGCGATAATCTCATTTGCTTCTTAACTTTTACGCTTGAATCAGTCACTACCTCACGGGAACAGATAAGCGTCATGACTTGCGCGATAACTACGCCAGTCTTCCATACGGACCCATTCTACTGCAGTCATTGCATCGTCTTTGTTTGCCAGATTGGATACTGCTTCTGACAAAATGCATTTGACAAGCTTCGCTAGACTCTTGCATACTTGACGAGTGCGCTGTCTACTACAATATCGTTCGTTTGTTCACCTGTGCAACTTTTATTTTGAGACACGTGTTGCAATTTTGAACTAAATGTTCTTGACATAGCAGGTCATATTACTTTGGTAATGTAAGGTGCACACACACAATAATACAGTACATACACTCTAAATTTTGGGTCAACTGGCTGCAATGTTTGTTCCATATTTTCACTGATCCTACCTACTCAACCCTCCCATATTCGTAAAATTTCAAAACGCTTCGAAAGATTCAACTGATTTTTTTTGCCCCAAAATTTCTGTCAGCGCAAACAGGCGGTAAGTGATAGTTTTAATAATAATCGTTTTGGGTCCAAGCCGCAACCCGGCGTAGCATATCGGCGACAAACAAGGTGCGTTCCGCCAAACACCCTGCATTGCCCGATCGAGTGGGCATAATCAGCTTTTGTTTATACTTAACATGGCACAACCTCTCAAGGCTGAACCTGTACTTAGTATTCCTACTTGATCTGACAGCTTATCTAAATGTCTTTGTAGCAAGCAAATTGCTGAAAAGTAAAAATTTCCAGCAAAATGGAATCCGACGGTACTAGCGCTACAAGCCCCGAGACTGCAAGCCCTTGGGCCGTGTCCCCATTCCAGACTAAAAATCCTTTTAAGTCTTGCAATACGTCGTCTCCGCCTGCCGAATTGGAGCCTGAACCGGATATCGCTAGGTCTGCCGTGATGAATGACTTGCCAAAGCTGGATTTATTAGCTGTTTCTTCAAATAAGCAAGGAGAAAGTGCGACTACGTCGGTGTGGACGACGTCGCCTGTCACACAACTTGAAAGTACTGTGCAGGAGTTTGCATGGACGCTAGGCACGACAGAGCAGGTGCAAGAAGTTGCGAAAAAGATTGCTGGTACAAATATTATAAAGGCGGAAGACGTTGCTGTCCCATTCAAGCAAGATTATTCATCTCAAAATACGGTACTGCAAGTCGAGGAGAAAACAAAGTTCGCATGGACAACGTCGCCATGCACAACGTCGCCTCGTTCAGAGGAAGTTTCAGCAAGTGCATGGATGGTACCGGTTGAAACGAATGCTCAAGATTTTCTAGTCATGGAGGATGCGTTGGCTGGGAATTTGGCAAAAGAAGAGTTCGTGGTGGAGATACTTGATGATAAAGTAGATGAGCCAGCTGCAGCTGTGGTCAAAGAAGTCGCTAGTGCGAACAAGATGAAAAATGGGTCGGCTGCAATCTTAAATGGATGGAGTGCAGGCTCTATGCAGTACGACGAGCTGTTGGATGGCTGGAATTCAGCGTCTGAAAAGCAAAATGTTGCTCTACCTGATGTTGTGGAGGAGGTTGCTGGGAAATCCGAATTGAAGGAAAATGACCCTGCACTTACAAACGAGGAAGTGAAGTTGACCGGCATTCATAATCAAGAAATTCTTTCTGTAAGCCCTTGGACAGCCGCACCGGTACATGATACTGTGGATATAGTCACGCCTGTGAGAATTAAATCAGCACGGGCCGTGAGCGAAGTTGCGTCGCTCGAAACATCACACGCCTCGGTTGTGAAGGAAAAACCCATCATTAAAGAAGTCCAGTCCATCAGCGCCTGGAACTCAGAGCCCACAGTGAAGGTTGTAGAAGAGGCTGGTCCTGATAAAGTGATGAAGACGTCTAAAAGGGTTGATAACATTACAGAACCCGTTGCGAAATTTGCAGATGCCCATGCAGCTGATGATGAGAAGGAACGGAATGTGCTGCCAACCAGAAACGTAACGCCAAATCAAGAAAAGGCTAAGCTGATTGTTGATAAGGTCAAAAAGTCTATAGAGCCTTTGAATGACGTAGCTGCCAACCCTGTCCGGAATACTGAGTCGGTAAACCAGAACGGTGTAGTTAAGAAGGAGGAGTCTGTGATGCAGACTCAAGCTTTATATAAAGCAGAAAAGAAAGGCGTTTCTTTGGAGGCCGTGACCGCCAGCGACAATATCGATAGAAAGGCTACCGCAAACGTGTTTAAAGGTGTAGCCATCTACACGACTGGCAGCACGGTCAAGGACAGTAAAGTCTCCCGTGTTGGAGCAATCGCCAGTTCAACCGATGCACCAGGCACCTGCGGCGCGTGTGGTGTCGCTAGCTGCAGCATAATGTAGTTTGCTTGACCTTCTCGAGACAATGTATACCATGTGGAGACTGCAGTGTAGTGCTCTGGACAAGTGGCGCATTTTGCGCCTAAGTCAAATCTCAATGAACATTTTTGAGGTGTATTTACTTATTTTTCTCCGTATGTCAACCAACTCATTTGCAAATCAGCCCATCGAACGTTTCTGGTGCAAAGTAAAGGATGTCAGACTCGCCTTGGAATGCCGCCCCTGTACCTGAGCAGAAGCTACATCTCCCTAAGCCCGCAGCCCCCGTTATCAATGCAAAGAAGGAGGAGCACACTGTGTGGAACGCTGCACCCAAGCCGAACGCTAGTACGGCCGAAAAGATAAAAGATAAAACGCGGAACGCTTTGGAGGACGCTAAGGATCTTAAGGCCAAGGTTACAAGTACTGTCGAAGGGTACAAGAATGACAGCGTCGCTAAGGTGAAGAAAATAAATGAAGAGCGAAAAGTGGCCAGAGAAGACAAGAAGAAGGAAAAAAAGGCCGAGGAGTCTGCGGGTGCCTGCGGCTTCTGCGGTTGTACCATTATGTAATCTATCAGTAAATGTTGGATTTCATGAATGGGATTGGCTGCGATAGTCTTGATAGTAAACTCATGTAGAATCACTATTTTTTACGGGGTTAAATTTCGGGGTTCGTTGCTTAAATTTGTCAATCTGATGCTCGAAGCAGAATTACGTTTGAGGAACAAGCCGCTGATTTAATTGTACGACTTGTATTTGTATGTGGCAACCCTGAAGTAGTGAAGTCCGTGAATCCTGACATGTGGGGATCGCTGGCCTTGGACCCCAATAGTGAACAAGTCCGTTTCTGCACAGCGCAACGGTACAGCGATTACCACTGTTATGTCATCATCGTTGTTATTCGTCGATGAGCAAGAGCAAGACAATATGTTCACGACGCTAGGGGGAACTTGCGTTGTGAGAGGATCTCTAGGGCCCTGGTACTTTGGCGTGTTAGAGAACAGGAAACAATGCAAATGTAATACGACACAACTCACCAACTGACCGTCTCTTTTCCATCCTCAAGTGTATAGATAGATCTTCAGACGCTGTCAGCGTGATAATTTCTCGTGTTAGAAGTGAAAAGGTACCAGCAGCCTTGTGATAGCCTTACCCGCTGTGTGCAAGGTGCCACAAGCTACTTGGGCGATGTCGCTGTTAAGACCCTTATCATTATGCGTGGAGCAGTGACCAAGCTGATTGTACAGATCCAGCCAAAGGTAAACAAACACCTCCCCTGACGTCGAGATTATCGCATTATGAGCCCCTCTGTTGCGATGAATTGGGCTTGTACATTGGCCGGCAATTCAACAAGCGCTAGAGTATTTAGCTGCTTTTCCTTTAAGCCAATACTAACTGGCTGTACAAGTTACACCCCCATGCCCAAATACGACCAGCTGAGTCACATGCGAGTGAGTGCATCCCTCCTGCAGCCACCTCAACAATATATACGGCGTGAAGAAATACTAAACTTTTGTTGGAGTATGCACCACTTCTTCCAACTTAGCTGCTGTAACTTGACCAGATCTATTTCAGCCCCACGCATATACGCACCACGAACAAGCCAGCCGCAAACAACTTTATTTCATTGCTCTTTTATCTTTATTTTTTCACCAATGGTTGACCCTTTTCCACAAAATCAAGCAGCTTGCCCAAAAATCTTTCCAATATCAGCCTCAATACCAACTGTAAAGGTAGGTATCTCCCCCATCGACAGCCATGAACGTTCGGTCCATTGGCGTAAAGCACTCTTCAAAGAGCTTGTTGTCATCATGACTTAAGATCGAGATGTATCTGCATCTCATTTTAGCCAATCGTCACCAAAATTTAATCGAAATCACAACGAGCATGCAGCTCTAGGCGGTCACAGCCTCGATCACAGTCACGACTACAGCCACGACCCTGACCCTGACCACGATCATAGCCATGAAGTGGAAGATACAGACGGAATTTCCCTCTTTCCCTTCATTGACACCAACAAACTTCGGGTGCTCAATGCGCTGGACCCACGGGCTGTATCTCACCCGTTCAAGCCTAAAGACAAGACCACTCGCTGTTTCTGACTGGCAGCGAAGACGACCCAGAGCTGATAGTGTTTGCTCCATTAACAAAATCTGCCAACATTAAGGCCATATCTTGGGGTGCACTGGCGACGGCACTCACCTTAAAGAAGTTAAAATGTACGTCCTGGAGCTGAATTTGAAAGAGCCAATTTTCATGTGGTTGTTGCTGGTATTTGGATGCTATTGCTCAGTTTCACAAATCAAGACGATATTGACTTTACTAATGCAAAGAGCTGCTGGCGCAGCAGAAATTAGGTCTGGTTGAGGTCGACACGTCCAATATTAACTATCCGCTTCAGTATGTCAATCAATGTATTTGAAAGGAATGCTGAAACTCTTATCTCGTTACTCCAGATTACGCAAATTTCAAGGTGTAAGCAGTTTGACACTCTTCAACACATCTTTGAAGGCGACAAAACCAAAATCTATTATGTCAGCATCACTGGCGAAAATAAAAAAGCGCGGTATATTTTTTTTTCAAATTTACATGATCGGTACTCTATAACACAAAAATTAATTCGATTCATTCTATCGCATTATGGCGTCATGGCATAGTCGAGTGCGTTTATAAAGCACGTCCTCAGCCGGCTGACCACAAAGTTAAGAACACGATCGGACCGACGTCGCTCACTTAGTTTAATGCAGTATGTTGAGGTCGAGCGGGCGCGCCCTGCTCGACTCAATAAGAGTGTGAAAAAATGTTCATGGCCTGTTTCCTTGCTGGAATTCCAAAAGGGCCAACTCTGCTTGTGAGGCCTTATTTTCTTCCCTTTTTCGTTTCTGCTCAAGTTCGTTGAGCATTTGAGTTATATCACGCACTAAATCATTCTGCACCTGCACACATTCTTCAGTTCGTTCTTTGGTATCGTTGTATTGCTCATGGTTGGTGGTATTGGGAATGATAACGCTGTTCTCATCGTGCAGATGAGGCTCGTACCGTAGTGGAATACCGTCAATGTCGGATTCCTTTTCTTCCTCGCCTTCACCTAAACAAGCCTGAGCAAAGTTAGGTGAGTCAGACACTGTTGCACTTTCACCCCTGTCTTCAAATGGATAAATATGCTCATTGCGTAATTTGTGGTGAGTTTTTCTTGTGCCAAACTTAATAAGTTTTGGATTTGCTGATGTGGAGCATGTTGAATCTTCATTCGACAAGCTTGAACATTCAGAAACACTGTCTACAAAAGCCTCCCAGTCAAATAGATTATCTTCTGTGGTATCAGCACCAGTCTGGTGACATTTCAATGATATACTGAGATTTTCTGAAACTTCATTTAGATCCCAAGAATCCGCGTGCTTGCTTACTCCAGAGCAGCAGCTCTGACAAGAGATGAGACTTGGGCTTTTCGCCAAAAGCCTATCGCTGGCATTTCTTCTAACCTTGGCGAGACCTAAACAGCTTTGCCCTTGCGAAGATGAAACGCTTATATTTAATTGTGCAGCCGACAGGTCACTATATTCGTGTACAACTGACGGCTGACTTCTTGACGATGACATAAATGCTCCATCAACTTCAACTTGGCAATCATCACTAAGAACGTCATCACTCGGATGTACTTCGTCACCCGGAATCGGTATGTTTTCTATAGGACAAATCTTACCGGATAGAGAATGCCTTAATCCCACTCTGGCAGTCGATCGCTGCGCGTTGAATGTCTGCAATTGTGATTCATCACGCTCTTTTAACATATGCTTAAGACGATCAACCTCTTGACACAGCACCTTCTCACTAGCTACGTTTTTTTTTTGTAATCTATCGATTGTGGATGCGTATTGCAGGCGAATTTGACTAACATCCTTTGTCTGCAGAACAACAATCTCGGACTGCAAAGCCTCGACCTCAGACTCGAGAGATTGCCATTTCTTCGTCAGCTTGTCTATTTGTCGTGCAAAGATGTCCTTCTTTTCGGTCGTTTCTTTCAGCAGATCCAGCAGGCGATTACGGTCAGATGTTATTGCATTCAATTGTTCGTGCAACGATAAAACTTCTTTATTCAACTTAATGTTGCATGCTTCGGTCTCTGACAGGCGATGGCTGACATCACGCAGTTCTTCTCTCTTTGATTCGTCATGTCTAGCAAGCATTGCCTCAACCTCATACAACTTCTTTTCTAAGTTTGAGTGGAGTGCTGCTCGTTGGATAATCTGCTTTTCCAGTTGCTGAATATGCTTGCGATCACCCGCAATTTTGCTGTCGTGTTCTCGCTGCGTTCTCTTGAGAAGAAAGTCCAGATCTTTTCGTAGCAACTCCTGATTGCGCACTTCTTCCTGTAGATTTTCAATTTGAATGGCCGCTTCTTGCAGCTTCTCACCTCGAAATGCAAAAATTGACGGTGCTAAGTCCATTGCATGGTTCGTATTCTTCTTGCAGCAATTGTGCCATACAAAATGGGAGACAGCTGTTGTCGTCTTTTTCTTCGAGGCGCCTCGAGAATGCAGCAGATCGTTGCGCTCCTTTACCACCTGTGCTGCGTATCGCTCTAAGAAATGTTTCTTCTCTCTTTCGCAAGCCGCCTCTCGAGTCAGCAGCTGTACGTGGCTTTTGACTTGCTCCATATCCTGCTCCAGTGTAGACGCGTATAGACGTAGGTGCGTCGCCAGCATCTCCATCTCGGTGTAACGTGGCAAAATGTGCAGTACGTATCCCAGAAGTCTCTGCGGATCGGATGCAGGGGGAATTGGCGGTAGCTCCAGCGCTGTTAGCGTCTGTTCCACTTCGTGCCATTCGCACGAGACATGTAGCATACTCATAATTGAAATTTTTCTCGGAAATGTGTAATTTTGTTATTGAGTTGAAGCGACATTCACTCTTGTATTCCGCCCTCTTGTCACTCTTGTTCAGTTCGTCATGGACGACGACAGCCGCATGAGTGAAACATCTAGTGTGCGAAATCGCGTTCAACGCCACGTACCATCGAATTTAGGGGATATGGATACGGGCGATGAAGCCACGCTTTCTGCGTCGCACATTCGACCGCAGCTGCGCTGTAACGCTTGCTGGGATCCAATCCTGCCTGATTCGCAGTCTGCGGAAACTTGTTATCGCACAAGCTGTGGACACTTGTTTTGCGTAAGCTTCGGTTCATTTCTGATAGTCGAGTTGTCGCTCAAATTTTAATATACTGCAGGAAAAATGTGCGTACAAGCACTTCGGACAAGGAAGGCTCAAGTGTCCTGCCTGCAGCGTCGGTAGGTGATGTAACGTAATGGGCTTGACTTTGAAGCTGGTGTGGTATGCTCTGATGATTAATTTACTGGATGAGAAGATCTGAGTCAAGTGTATGCGTCTCATATGCTTTTACGCTGGATTGCTGATGGCCAAACTTGTCTTAACATTTTAAATTTTCAAGGCGTGACGGAATATCTGAGACGTAAGCTGGTAAATAGTATGGCTGTTTTTTATTTGTCGAGCTAACAGGTTTAAAGAACGATTCACGGCTTAGCGAATTCGAAGGTAGCTTCAAAAATAATCGACGATATTGATACCAAATTTGATAAACAATATATTGCCAATTTAGAGGACCGAGGTGCTGTTCTGCTGCTCTTTATGACTTCTATCGTGCAAGCTTGTATGCGTAACAAATTTGACTCAGGCAATATGGGAAGAGATGATGGCAGATCCGTCGTCGTGCTTTGGTATGATATGTTTCGGAGAACTGCACAATTCTTATATCCGCTGACTGGGTTCCGTAAACTATGTACAGAACACTTTCAACATGCTTTGGGTAACAAAATGATTGCCTTAAATCAAACTCACGTAATCTGACTCGAGATTATCTGATCATTTCATAGATTTCGTCTTGGTACGTTTTTTCAGTAGGACAAAATTGATTTGGTTCGATGCTGACAGCGTTCACTGTGCAGTTTCAGTTAGCACAAGATTCCTTCAGGTAGGGTGTGTTTTTTATATTGCTAGCAAGAATTTTTCTTTAAGTGATTGAGCAGACAAGTAAGTCCATCATCTTTTGAATTAATGTCTGCAATTTACGTTAATTCAATTGTGCACGATGATAGGAAGAGATCAGGCGCCAGCAAGGTTCGATGATATCTTCTAAATACGGATCATCGACATATTTATATTTCTATATTTCGAGTGAGCTAAAAATATGTTGAAGCTGATGAGCAAAAGGCTTTTAAAATCCAGCATGGAGAGAAGTATATTCAACTGAAAACCTATACCGATCAGCTCGAAGCAGAACTTCGAGAAACAAAATCTAAAATGCAAGCACTTACAGCATCTAATGATGAGCTTCGCGAGGCGAGTGTTTATATCATAGTATCTGTTGCTTATTTGTTAGCTCATCACGGCCTGGAAGTAGGCATACAAGGAGAAGTCACGAAAATGCCGCAACTGGGAAAAAATGGTCAACTCCGATAAAAGGAAAGTGCACACATAGACGTAGAAGCCTAATGCTGCTTGCGAATAGTGCAAAACACTTAAAGCCCACCCCAGCGCACGGCAGTTTCCATCACCAACACGGTCCACAATGGAAGGAATGGGAATGCAACAACAAAACGGTGCTTCCCTGGTTACGCAAACCAGCCAATTCAACCGTCCTTCACTGCGTCCAACAGCGAGATCCTACGCGGTCAATGCTCCAGCTCCGTCAATGCGGAATTCAATGGCGAACATGGAAAGGCTGGAGTCCCCAAGAGTGAGTCAAAGATCCAACATTGGATTGTTCGATCGATTTTCGAGACCTCATATCGGTGCGTGTTTTAATACTGGGCACAATAATTTCACAACTGACACACGCCCAATCACAGGAGGGGCCACACGTTTGTGTGTCCAGCCTTTGGGTGGATCAAGAAATCGGATCTTGCGACCTAAAACACCATTGCAAGACTCTCAACGTGTTGGATTTCTATCCAAGAGGTAGAAAAGCCCAAATCAGTGATGAAAAGTATCACAGCATCTGAACTCCTTATTTTTATGATTAGACCAACTTTTCGCATGTGAGTGTAATATACTAAAAGCATAATTATATGTGCTCAAGTTAATCTAGCATAATTCTGAGCCTACTAATAGAGCTCATAAATTAGGTTTGATAATTTTCTCAGAAATAAAAACTGGAATTTTGCCAAACGCTCAAGTACCTGTAGGTACGTAAAGAATTGTCCTCTGGGAGGAAATTGCCAATCTGACATTGGCTCATTACCGGTGAGTTTTGTCTGATTTTAATTCAGCCGCGACGATACATGACACTACGCAAATCGGTGCTGGGGCTGGCAGTGGCCCAGCCAGTCTTTAAGTGGTTAACAACAAAAAGAAATCAAGGGTGATTTGAGGATATATTACTATCGTGTCGCTACGTATGTAACGGGGTTACACGTATCCTGGTAACGGGTGTGTGTGTCACACGAGATGGGCATAGTGTGACAGCACCCAAACAAAAATACGGTATGTGCAGCAGTTATGCATGTATTTAGATTTTACTACCGTAGTTAACAAAAAGATTACTTCTCAAAAAGATCACAATTTGGATAAATCCCATCACTTTTTTATTTATTGTGATTTTGCGTTCATTTCGAATTACCGTACCATTGTTGCTACCTATCATCACCTGAGATGAAGCGGTTCTTACTGAA